TTTAAACTGATATCTTAATTTTATATTAAAAAAGTAGCTTTCTTCTTTTTCCTCGTCTGCAATATGACAAGTGGTAAGTTGAAATTCATTTGTAAATATTGTAAGGCAAGCCAAGTAAAAGATTGATCATACATCAAAAATTTAGGTGGAAGGTACAAAATAGGATTGGACTCATTGGCATTATCATCACGAAAAAACTATATTTGGTTGAAAATTGGTAATAAAAGTTTTGAGCAACGTTTTGCCACTTGTTTTAAATTAACTTGTCAACTTTGTAAAAATGTTTACTAACCATGCCAACGGTTTTACTGTATATGAGAGCATCATTAGACCTACAGATCCGTTCAAAACGTTTTTTCAGTTTTTTGAATTATCAATTTATCGAGTTCAAATGAAAATTTTTTGCTACTATCTCTAATTACCAACACTATTCGAAACTTCAGTTTTACTGTCAATGTAAAAATGTCTTTTTGCAAAAAAAAAAATAGATTTTCGGCAAATTCTTCCTTCTTTAGTTGTGATTAACTTGTCTATGAGTTACACGTGTATTCAGGGGTGAATCTAGGATTTTCAAGAAAAAGGCGGGGCAAATTTTCAACAAAAAATAATTGTCGACCTTTTTTTAGGTCAACAAAAAATAATTGTCGACCTTTTTTTAGGTCAATAAAACTAATTTTGCACTAAAAATACTTTGTTTCGGACAAAAACGGGCCAAAATAGGCGTTCTCATGCGTTTTTGGACACTTTTGACCAAAAATTGTGTTTCTGGCGCGCACTCCCCCTCTCAAAATTTTTGTATAATGGCTTCAAAGACGCCTTCAGAAAAATTTTAGGGCCAGCCAGCCAAAAATGGAGGTCGTAAATTACTATTAAAGGGGAACCCTTAGGGTCGGCGGGGGGCCAATCCCTAAGGATGGCGCCCATTTCCTTTTTGCGTCGAATATGACTTTTGTCTAACTTATTACACACGCCAGGTGAAAAATCAGAACTTTCAATGCAAAATTTTGATACGAGCAGCATGCCCCAATTTACCTGCAAACTAGTTAAATGGTCTGAGTGTAAAGTTTTACTATACCCCAGTGTATTAAAATTTTAGTATAGCGGATTTTAAATCACTGCTTTTAAATTCAAGTCATGACTTAAAATTCTTTGATTTTAACAACTTCGCAACTGAAAAAAGGTCTCCCTGTTTAAAGCAATTTTTTATTGTAAACTAAAAAGACTTTCAGGTGACGATCTCACCACAAAAAAAATCGACACCGACAGTATAAAGTTATTACTTTTTTAGGTTTTCTCTTTGAGTGAATTACAAAAGTTTCCCTAGGTGTAATGCGTTATAAAGAGTTCCCTTTTGACCTCCCAATGCAATTTTTTGGGTAAGTTTAGTCAAGTTATGTCTGCCAAGATGTTTACCAGATACACATAGCATAATGGTAAGGTATTCACTTTGAGATAGTCAGATCGAGTGTTAGATCTCCTGCCATGGCAATGATAGTGATAGTGTTTGAGGAAGAGCTATCAGTTGACTTCTAGTCTAATTTCCGTGGTTAAGCAATTTCAGCTGCAGTATGGCGACCACGTGAAAATTCTAGACGCAAAGGCTGGTCCCAGTCGTAAAAGAACATCCTTGCTAAACAGAATAACTTAAGCTGAGGTTTAGGGAAACAATACATAATATTCTTACATAGCTTGCTAGGACCTATTGGCTGATCCTCTGCAAATCGCAGGAATCACAAATTTTTTTTAATTTCTGTCTGTTGTCTTAGACGTGTTGCTTTGCTTTAGATGTGTCTTCAATCGGACAAGTTTTTTTTAGAATATGATTTTTTACATTTTCACCTCATTTTCACACGTAATCATCTACTGGAAGTTTTTTTGATTAAATGCTTCAATCTTCAGCCTCTCAAAAAAATTGTTACGTCTGATCTGTAATTTGAGGTTAGTCTCTCTTTTTGTTCCAAGCAAATTCAGGTATTGTCGAGCCCTCTTAAAAATTTAAACTGGTCATTTTGAGGCCCTGCTATTCATCATAATTGAAACTGCGAAAAACTAATACTAATTTTTAGGCCTACTATTGTCTATAGTCAGATACCGATCAATTATTCAAGGCTATTCCACAAAGACTTAATACATTGAAGCATGAAAAGAAAACATGTACAAACAATGTTTTTTATTAAACAGCACGGGTAGATATTTCGAACTCTTCACTTTCTCAAATAAATTTTTGAAAAAGTCAAAAAACCGAAGTTAACCAGAAACTTTTTCTGTTTTCAGAAAATTCTTCTCTATTCTACTTGCACATAAATTCTCTCCTTTTTTAGCTTCGTTTCTTTTTTTAGAGTTTCTCGCAGAATCTTTTGATTAAATTGAGCTTCTTCTGTTTAGTTGTTAAATTCCAGTAATTTATCAAAGAAGTAATCTAGTTATTGCCCTTCAGATCTTTTCTTATCCTTTGGGCAATTTTGACTTAGTCGGATCAAATAGCCCCAATTTGCCTGAAAACTAGTCAATTGGTCTGAGCCTAATGGTTTATCATACCCAGTGGGTTAAAAATTACAGTCTGGCTGATTTCGAATCACTGGTTTCAATTTAATTCCACGGCGTGAAATCCTTTTGACTTTATCAGCTTCCAATTGAAAAAACGACAATTAGATTAGGCCTTGCATAATGACCCAGCCAATAAAAACAAAACAGCTGCCGCTATAACAGTTATTTCTTGATAGTTTTTATGTAACCCATCAATAGGTAAGTTGAGCAAATTTATTGAACTTTTAGTTTGAGAAATTGAGAAAACAAAATTCAGTCGAAAACTCTATTTTCAGCCAACAGTTGAAATTTCTAAATTTCACTTTATGTCAAAACTGCCACATTTTGTTGAAGCTAGCCTGGGTGGAGATGGCGCACATGAAGTGTTCAATTTTAAACAACTTTGATTGGTTTCAACAGTTAATTTTTAGAGCGAACTACGTTCCAACCACGTAAAGTTGATGAAGCCGATGAAAAATGTTTCAGAAAAAAGCCCCCTTGAGAAAAATCTAATTCCACCCTGATTACACAGGAAAAGGCGGTTCAATCATTAACCTTTTGCTGAGTGAAAGTGATCAACAGTGATAAAAGCTCTCAGCCAAACTTAGCTTTTTTATCATTCAAACTCTTTCTCTTTTTTGCTACAAAATTATTTTTGTAGAAACGCAATACTTCAATAAGCAAACTTTTCTGGTTTGGTGTTTGACGCTTCAAATGCATAGGGACTACAGTTTTTCGAAAATTAAAGCTAGTCATATATAACTTTAATTTTTTTCCGGGTTTTCGATTTATTTCTTTGAAACTCTAGGAAATCAAAAATTCAAAAATTGATGTTTTTTGTTAATTCTTCTACTGTAACTAAAATACTATGTTTGAACCAACCACATCTGACATGACAGCAATTTTTGTTCAGCGGTGTGCCATGATAAGTTAATTTGCTAAAATTTGTCATAGATAGCTTGCTGAAAGCTTGGAATTGGATTAGTGGTAACTCAGCGATTTTTCATCGCCAAAGCTGAAAGAAATCAGCAAAAAACCTTGCACAGCTTTTTTTGTTTATCGAAGGAACATAGTTTTTTGTAACGGTTTCTTAGTACGCGCTACTGTTTTTTGAAGTTCTGCATCAGTTGAATGATAATTTTAAAGCGCATATGGTGAGAAAACTTCCAACAGTGCATTCAATCACTGATCAGAGTTATAGATTTATTTCGTTTGTGATAAGTCCAAAAAAGTTTTGCTGATTTAGATACAGATGCATCAACAATACAGATACATCAACGCAAGTTTTCAATTTTTGAACAACGTCTATCAAGCTTGACAAAAAAATTTAACCTTATCTAAAACTAATTAGTTTTATAGATCAAAATGGGTTTTTGAATTATATATTTTCCTAAAATTGAGTTTTATTTTTTGATGTTTATGCAGTACATAATTATGTTTAGATTAACTAGCGGTAGAAAAAATTTTCCGGATAAATTCGCAAACAGTTTTTTTGGAACTAAATTTCTTGTTTAACTGTGATGAAAAGTTATCAAAAACTTGTAAGAGACCTATCATTTTTTTGATTTTCGCGCCCTACTTATGCTTTTCCAATGTTTATCTCATGCTTGGGGAAACATATTTTGGTAGTCGCCTATTGGATATTTTGCTGAGCACCTTCTTTTAGCTAGCAGAAGATATCAATACAAAAGTATCAGAATAGCAAAAATTGTGTCAAAAATCATTGGTTTTTCAGATCTAAAATAATCAAGAAAAACTAAATTTCAGATCTTAAAATAGATCTGAAATAAGCTTTTTTTTCAGAGCTGAAATAACCAAGAAAAATTAAATTTTAGATCTGAATTTAGATCTGAAATAACCCATTCTTAAATATCCAAGCATTATTTTAACATTTCACTGCCCATTTCAGATCTGAAATTTAGATCTGAAGAAGATTATTTCAGATATGAATTAGACAACTTACTAGATACGGGTTATATCAAGTAGTTGATGAGCAACAAAGTTGCAGAAATTTTTATTCTTTTAAAAACTAATCATTGAACAGTTAATAAAACTAGACATCTAATACCACGATTTAACGACTTGTATATTAATAGATTACTTGAACACAATGGAATTTAAGGGCTAAAAATTACACTCATACAAAAATTTCATCCCAACTCAGAAGTTGAAATAAAAAACTTAAGACACGAACCAAGTTTTGGACCAAATTCTGAAGTTCCATAAACCACATTGGGGGCTGCTCCAAGTTTTTTGTTGTGTAGGACGGTGGTTTTTACACAGAGTCCATTTCTGTGTAAACCATCCCCTTGTTCAAGCAACGTTACTATCCGAATAAGCAAACTAAATGAAAGTTAATGTTGAATGACTATTTTTAAAAAAAGCTATGATGTTCCGGTGTTGTTTTTCTGATGAACTTAAGTGCGTTACTTTTTTTTATTTTCCTATTTTAAAATTTTAATTTTTTTTTCCAGAAATGAGAAAGCGTGATTTTGATCAATACAGAGTCGAACGTCTGCTGTTTCTAATCCAGCGCGAACAAGAAAAACTCAATTTCTTCTACGAGAGGAAATACTGTCGATTAGAATGCGGACGATTTTTCCCTCCAATTCGGTGTTCGGTTATTGAGAACCCCGTCAGCGGCGAGAGTGTTGAAAGAGCAGGAGAAGATGAAGCTAGTCAAAGTGTCCGATATTCGAGAGTGTTCGGAACTTTCAACCATGATGACTTCCGAGCAGTTGATGAGAGTGAATTGTGTTCGGGGTGTGGATACGCTTATGTAGATCATTACAAGGTAAATTTTACGATAATAGTTAAAAGATGTTTAAAATATTCACTAATTTTTTTCAAAACAATTTTTAAGCTTTTAGAAAGTTTTGGGATCAAGTGAACAATCTCCCCCTAAATCAATTTAGAGGGGAGATTGTTCAACACTTGGTTAAACGTAATACTTTTCAGCCAATCTAATTTGAGCATAGCACATGAAGGCCTTACGGCTTAAATTTACCAGTTAATTTCAAGGGGGAGATTGTTCACATGTGCCTACGCATAGGTTTTGATGCCCAAGTTAGCGCTGATTGAACTTTGCAAAACTAGTTTTTTTAAATAAAACCATATTTTTTTTAGCCTGAAGGACCAATTTTCATATAAAGAAAGTTAGTCGACTTTCGAATTTTCCTGCTCGAAATTAGACAAAACTTGAGTATCTTTCTCGACACTGGGATAACTTTTTTTTCAGAAAAAATATTTGAAAGTTTTATCCAAAAACCGCCTTTTTTGTCTGCGGAGTCCCTTAACCGTTTAAGAAGAGGCCAGATAAGCCTCCGCTATTTGTTGCGGTTCGAATTTCCGGAGTTCCGTGATAAAATGCATGAGTTTTTTTGCCGGAGTTCAATACACTTAAGTTATATGCTATAGTGAAATCAAATCCACAAATATGACCTGGAATCCAATAAAAACCCATCTATTTCAAGTGCCTTTATATGGCCAGCAAATTATACTTCTTTTTGGCTCGAAACTGTGATATCAGGTTTTAACACAGGTAATGCACAGGTAATTTCGCTGTCTTGTAATGCACAAAAAAGGGCAAAGATTGTTTTCTTTTTCCATTAATCCAAGTAGGTTTTTTGCCCGGGTTTTATATTTACTTTTCTATATTTTTTGTGTTACATCAGATTTTATTGAATATTGATTTTTTTCCGAAACATTTCTTCTGGAAAAAGAAATTTTGTATTGGTCTGATTAGCGACACAAGTTATTTTTTTTACTGTTTGCAAAGGTTTACAGTTTAGGTGATTCATAACAGCTTTTTTTTGCTCCAAGAGCGCATTTTGCTTCTTTTTTCATAGTTTGCAAAAATTATTTTTTTTTCGTTGAAAAAAAATCCTAATTTTTCTCTAAAAAGTGACGCATTTGCAGTAACCAATCCAGTAACAATATTTGAAAAATTCAGACCTGGACAGGATTTTACCTGATGTTTATATCTATATAAATTTATCCTTTTTTTTCAATTGTATTATAACATAGATATTTGTCTTTTTTTAAATTGTAAAATAAGAATTTCACTCATTAGTAATTCAGAACTTTACCGCACAATTTTTGCTTCGCGATTTTAAAAAAAAAATGTTATAAACGCTATTTTGAATATATTCGAAAACCACCACCGAGAAAGCCCTGGATCCACTCCTGATTTTGCTTCTTGCTTAGGTGTCTCAGCCGCCCCGTTGGACAATTGAGGACAGCAAGTGGAGAAGAGAACATCACCTGTTGCACATAAAGTACAGCGAGAGGTCATTCGGGGTCACTGTGAGTGATGAAGTGCTGGGGCTGGAGAAGAGTGCCCAGATTGCAGTGCTCTCATCCGACACTCATCCCGCTATTGTGATGGGTGAGTTATGGTTTTTAATTACTGGCTAATAACTATTTGTTTAATTTTTAGGTTTAGGTTTATCATTAAGATCATCTCGCTATTGTGATGGGTGAGTTATGGGTTTTTAATTACTAGCTAATAACTAATTGGTTAATTTTTAGTAGTTAAGCTTTGTCATTAAGATCATCCTGCTATTGTGATGGGTGAGTTATGACTATTATATTATTATTTAATATTTAGTTGGTTAATTTTCGGCATAATTTATGTCAATCATTAACATAAAAATTATGCTGCCGTTGTGATGTGCGAGGTATGAGCATTTAATTGTAGTTTGATAACTAATTGGTTATTTTATAGTTGCTAAGATTTGTCATTGAGATCATCCCGCTATTGTGATGGGTGAGTTATGACTAATTAAATATTATTTGATACCTCATTTTTTTTGTAGTAGCAGTTTAGATATTTTATTAAGATCATCCCGCTTTTGTGATAGATGAGTAATGCCTATTTAAATCTTATTTGATAGTACCTGATTTTTTTTGTAGTAGTAGTTTAGATTTATTATTAAGATCAATCCGCTATTGTGATGCGTGAGTTATGACTATTTAATTATTATTTAATATTTATTTGGTTATTTTATAGTTGCTTAGATTTGTCATTGAGATCATCCCGCTATTGTGATGGGTGAGTTATATGACTATTTAATTATTTGATAAAAATTGTTTATTTCAAAGTTGCTTAGATTTGTCATTGAGATCATCCCGCTATTGTGATGGGTGAGTTATATGACTATTTAATTATTTGATAAAAATTGTTTATTTCAAAGTTGCTTAGATTTGTCATTGAGATCATCCCGCTATTGTGATGGGTGAGTTATGACTAATTAAATATTGTTTGTTACCTCATTTTTTGTAGTAGCAGTTTAGATATTTTTATTAAGATCATCCCGCTTTTGTGATGGATGAGTAATGCCTATTTAAATCTTATTTGATAGTACCTGATTTTTTTTGTAGTAGTAGTTTAGATTTATTATTAAGATCAATCCGCTATTGTGATGGGTGAGTTATGACTATTTAATTATTACTTAATATTTAATTGGTTAAGTTTTAGAATAATTTAAGTTAATCATTAACATAAAAACCATGCTGCCGTTGGGATGTGTGAGTTACGAGTATTTAATAATTATTTGATAAAAATTGTTTATTTTAAAGTTGCTTAGATTTGTCATTGAGATCGTCCCGTTATTGTGATGGGCGAGTTATAAGATTAGTTAATTATTATTTGATATTTCTTTGATTACCTTTAGTTGTTTAGATTCATCATTAAGATCATCCCGTTTTTGTGATGGTTGAGTAATGCCTTTTTAAATCTTATTTGATAGTACCTTTTTTGTTGTTGTAGTATTTGGTTAGATTTATTATTAAGATCAATCCGCTATTGTGATGTGTGAGTTATATGACTATTTAATTATTATTTGATAAGTAGTTGGTTATTTTATAGTTGCTTAGATTTATTATTAAGACCATCCTACTATTGTGATGGGTGAGTTATTGGACTATTTAATTGTTATTTTATAGGTAATTGAAAATTTTATAGTTGTTTAGATTTGCCATTGAAATCATCCCGCTATTTTGATGGGTGAGTTATGACTATTTAATTATTATTTGATTAATAGGTGGTTATTTTATAGTTGCTTAGATTTATTATTAAGATCATCCCGCTATTGTGATGGGTGAGTTATTGGAGTTATTGTGAGTTAGTCTGGAATTATTGTGGCCAGGGCTACTACTTCATATTCTGAGTTTTGATCAAAAAGAAAAAATTGAGCAAAAATGAGCTTAGCGGGAGCTTTCTTGTAATATTCACAATTATTTTTTGCTACTCATCCTCGAGAGTCCGTGAGATCAAATGATATGCTTCACACTTAACTTGCTGGTCAGTAAAAAGGAGCTTAGACATCCAACAAAAGTGAAAAAATGCAGTCACTGTGCTTCGCCAAGTTTTGCTAAGCTTTGCTAAGTTTTGCCACGTCATGGCTAAAAAGAGGGCTGGTTATATGAGCTCTTGTCAAACTAAATAATTAACCATAGAGTTTTGCATCTGCTCTGGTTGACTAGAAAATATATTTTTCTAATTAAAATGTCTCATTCTCGAAAGTCTTCTTACTAAATATTATAAGCACTAAAAATATAAAATATTTTTGTATTATTATACGGTTTTGAGTTTCAATGAGCGCAGGGAGGGTACTTTTACAGGCCTAGATAATTTTTTTCGTTTTTTTTTCGTTTTTCACCAATTGTGTTTTTGCGGTTTTAACGTTGATATGGCCCTTTATCGTTTTCCACACCTGCAAATTTTCGCCGGAAAATTGTCGTTCAAACTTTCTTTTTGTAACACAAATTGGCATCTGGACTTATTAGGTCACGACAAACATGTTTTGTTTTGATATCTAACCTTGTAAAATCCATCATTGCACCATGAAAATGTGATTGTGTAAGAAGAAGGAAAAGGAGAAAGAGTCCTAATTTTTTTAGTTTCAATTCAGTTTTTTCTTGATATTAGGCAAAATACGCTCTCCAAGTAAAAAAGCCAAAGTTGAGTAAAAAAAAATCTGCATTGCTTCTGGGCTTGAAAGTGTATTTATTAAACTTTTTCTAATTTTCCAGCGGAACAAAAAATTTCCTCTGATGCTTTTTTCTCCAATTCGTCTAATTTTCTAAGGCAGTTTCTTGTCATAAATAAACCTTGAATATTAAAAAGCTAAAACTGGATTCATGAATTGTTTTAAAGTTTGGAAACAAAATGGCCATTGTTGGTTTGGTTGGATTTGTTATTGGACTTCAAGATATGTCCGACTGTTTCTCTAAAGATTGAAAGGGCTGGTTGCCGCTTTTCGAGCCAGCGCAACGTAATTTTTTCTACAATTTCCAAGTCAAACTCTGAAATGTTAATCATCACTTATCAAGAAGCATCCCTGATAAAAAATTTTTTTGATCTGTGATTTTTTGATTAGCACAGATTTTTGTATAGCTAAACATGAAATATCACAGATTTCTCTGAGTAAGGATTAAGCAGAAAATCGAAGGTTCAATTTTAGAATTTTCAACCTAACTCTTAACTTGCACACTATTTGCAAGCAAAAACTCAATTAAAAAACCTAATTTATAAGCCTTGCCATACTGATAAAAAAACTGCCCAACGTTAATCCAATTTTAATGTACTTCATTACTAATTCTTCGCTAATTATTTCACTTATTAACGATTATTTTTCACACACGTGACATCGATCAGTATACTTTAGATCAATTCAGTGATTTTGATTTCTGTATCAAAACTTAGCAATAATCAATCGCCAACTAATTGCTAAAAAATTTATGATTTATTCCAGCGCCAATTCATTGTTAATTTAGAGTTAAAGTTTTTTTTACAGCGGCGGTTGATGTTTTCACACGTTCTCGGGTTGACCAAAACGTTTAATTAAGCAATTTATTGTCAATGAAAATTTTGAAAATTGATGAATATAGTGAGTACTTTTACATAGGTCTTGGTAATTTTTATTGTTTTTTTTTCAGGAAACGTTTTTTAAAAAAGTTCACGCCAAGTTTTGATTTTTCGAGGCCTGAATTTTGATTGCTTTTTACGTTGACTTTTTTTTGTTCAAAGGAAGGCAAACAGCAAAACTGAAATTGTTGCGAAAATCATGATTGACTTCTAAATTCGAAAATGGAATTAATTTTATATCCAGCAAAATAAAAACTTTACCTGTCGATCCAGTGTTTTCAAATTAAGTTTGTTTTCAAAAAAAGGGGTTAAAAATATATTCTGTGTTAAGTTCAAAGAGCTTCAAACGCTATTTTTTCAAATTCGCAATTTGAATTTTTCCCAAAAAACAAGTCAGTTTTTTCTGTTTCCTATCTCTCATTACTCTTTCCCAGCTGTTAGTTGACTATGTTTTTCCTATTTTTCCAAAGGCGCAAAAATTCATTTGAAATTGCTACGATAAAATAATTTCATACATAAAACTTGTATGACTAGCCTTTTTCCGTGATTTAAAACTCAACTTTTTTCGAGTTTCACCAAATTTTTTTTGTATTTTGCCCAAAAACACACGATCCGAAAAATTTCTGTCATAATAAAGCGCAATGGTTGATGGGAAGAAACCTCACTATTACAATTGCTATGCAGATTTGTTTATGAGATAGTGTTTCAAAAATTACTCAGAATAATCAGTAACAACTGTTAGCTTCTGTAATTGTTTTGCTATAAATTATTCTAGTCGGGCTTTGTGAACGGACTTTGTGACAAAAAAAATATATCTTTTTTTAAAAGCGTTAAAAATTTCAGAACTGATTTTGCAAAAAAAAATCATATTTATTTTTGTTTCAGGTTTATGAAAAAATTCAGCCGGGACTACGTTACAAACAAAACCATAAACTTTTGCATGCTTTTTTTTGAAAAATAATTTAAAAAAATTTTGAGCATGAAAGGGATAATGCAACTAAAATAGAAAATTTTACATACTGACACTCAGAATTTCTACTTAAAAAATTTTCCTTTGTAAATTGCTTATCATACGGTATTATCAAATGAAAATTATATATCTTACATAGAATTTTATTTTGAATCATAATCGTTTTCGTGTACGGGTGTCAACAAGGGTTTTCAATGCTGCTCTTCAACAATATATCAACCCGGGTACAATCTGGCAAATTTGAAAAAATTTCGAACTCGTAGAAAACTGAAAATTTGTCTTTAAACGCAATTTTTCTAATTCTCAATTTTGAAACGTATTTACAATTTTTAAAATTTACAGCAAACAAAATTAAAAAATGAGTTTTCAATAAAGTTAACAGACAATAAAGTTTAGTGAGTTACAGAATATTTAAAAACGCATAAAAGAAACTGAGGTTATAAAACAGGGCCAAGTAAAGAATCACAAACAAAACTGACAGAGCCATGTTGTAATAAATGTCTGAGCTGATATGAAGTGAATAGACGTAGCAGAGAAGGAATAAAGC